GGGAACCCCCCCGCTCAGCACGGGGAGACGGAGCTGCAGCTGTGGGAGCACAGCCCACGGTCACAGAGAGACGCCCGGTAATTAAAACGAGAGCTGCCCACGTCCCAGCAGAGCTGGGCTCTGCTCCGGGGAAAACAGCCTGCCCCAGAGATGGAGCAGGACAGCAGGGACCAGGGGACCCGCCTTACTTTCTCGGGTGACACTGGAAGCCGCGTCCAGGGCTTTGGTGCTGAGGTTGCCCAGCACCTTGTCCACGGTCTGGTGGTGCCTAAGGAAGCAGGGCCGGATGACGTTGTGGTAGAGCACCTGTGAGCCATTCCAGGACACGGGGGCCATGCACCACACCAGGAACAGGCACTGCGGGGAGGAGAGACGCTAAAAAAAAAGGCAGGGTCTGACCGAGGCAGCCCCCTGAAGGAGGCCAGGGACAGCGCAGGAGCCGAGCTGCTCCAGTCCCACCCAGCCCGGCCCAGAGCTTCCCAAGGCTGGAGCTCACTGGAGGCACCAGGACCTCAGCTGACTGCAGGGGGCTCCCCTGTGGACTAAAACGCCACCACCGCCCTGCTCACGGGGCAGAGCCCCCACGCTCGGTTCCTCCCAGGTCAGCCACCAGGCAAGAGGACTCTGCCACCAGCAGCCCCCAGTGAAGCCGTTACCTTCCCAGCGTAGTAGAATGGGAACCAGTAGAGGAAGATGTCGGAGAAGAACTCGGCGACGCTGAAGACACCGTACACCACCCAGTACGTCAGCCACGTCGTGTCGTCCTCCTTGCTGGAGCTCTCAATGGCTTTGATGCTGCAGCAGCAGAGGGGAAGGGCGCTGCTGCAAACCTGCCTGGTGGGTGCTGTGGCCCCAAGCTGGGACTGTGCCAGGTCCCAGCGCTTTCAGGAAGGTCTCAAGAGCTTCCCGACCACGACTGCCTGCTTGTTTACCGGGGAGACCCTCAGCTAAGGGCAGGGAACGCTCTCCAGGCACTGCAGGGAGGCTGGGCTGGGGCACTGGCACTTACGAGACATACGCGGGGTAGGCGAAGCCGATGAGGTTGCAGAGCAGCGAGGCACCGTAGCCGAACACCAGGTAGAGCCCCAGGAACGCCGCAGAACCTGCCAGCGGGGACAGAGAGGACGATCCCTGTAGTGAGAAGAGGTGCCTGCCGGGACCCTCCAGCTGGGAGTAACGCCCACACCCAATTAATTCCAGCACGACCCTCCACACGCCGCTCACAGCCGCGCTGAGCCGCAACACGTGGCAGAGTCTGTCGTGGGGCAGAGGCACTCCCTCATCCCTGGGGAGCCACGGTCTGCTCCTGTCACCGTCTGTCCCCTCCCTGGCCTGGAAGGGACTTTACCACAACTAACTTGTGCTGCTTTTGACCCACCGCCAGCCTGGAGCCAGGCCAAGGCCACAGAGACGTTGGAAGCGGAGACTTTAACACGCACCTACAGTCCAAAGTTAAGGGACCGAGCTGCTCCCCTGCCCGCAGGCTCCGAGCCACTTGGCATTTTGATAACGACTGTTCAAGGACAGTCCCCGCGTCCCCTCTCTGCTCCCTGTGCACATCCCCTGCACGCGCTCATGCCGAGCAGCTACCGTTCATTAAGGATTCAGCCCCCTGAGAACCAGCAATCCAATCCTGCTTCCGTTATTAAATTAAATTGTTAAAGGTTAGCCATGGCTTCGGTCGTTTGGAGCCTGCCCAGCCCTCGGACACTTGCAGGAGGTGGGAAGCTGGGGCAAGGAGTTCTTGCTGCCGAAACCACAGCCCCGGGGAAGAGCCATCCCTCACAGGGCCCAGAGGTGCTGGCACCCCACAGCCCCCTCCCAACCCAGCCCAGGTCCAGCCACACAGGCGCCTGCCCGAGGCGGCCAAAAACCAGACCCCGAAGGGACAGATGGCAGGAAAGGAGCCTGGGGACACACGGAGCTGGAGTGGAGGACATTTACTGTCACAGCCCAGCAGCCTGTCCCCTGCCCTGCGGGCAAACTCCTGTCACCGTAAGCTCCTGCAGGAAAGCGGGGACGTGACCTGGCTGTGCTGGTGAATTAGAGCAAAGCCCTTGCTGGGGCTCACAGGAGGGATTATCCCCGCTCTGCTCACCGCAGCGTTCCTACGCCTTGCCCTGGCCCCCGCTGCGGGGCTGCTCTGGCTCCGGGCTCAAACAGGGCTCCAGGTCTTTCTCGGGAGCCGGGCAGGAGCAACGTGGCTTTGGAGCCGTCACAAACCCGCCTTGGAGGAAAACTAACGGGCAGGTTCCGGCAGCGCTGGGTGTCGTTCCCCCCAGGAGCCTCAGAAGGGATCACACGGGCCACGCTTATCCCCCAGAGAAATTTATGTAACAGCAAAAATCCAAGTGAAAGTTCCACTTCCAAAGTGAAATCACAGCAGGAGGCAAAAGGCAGGGGAAGTGCCTGGCAGGACGGGGGCAACCGGGAAAGCCCGAGCCCCTCCTGGGAGGTTTTAGATAAAATTCTGAATCTGAGACCACAGATGGGCAAATTATAAATTGTCAGAGAGCAGC